TAATTATGCAATTTCATTTTACATTTTCTTACGTTATGTTTGACATGCCAGCTCTGCGGTGTTCATTAAATGTGTCCTGGCACAATTTCTTTTTCTGTATCCATGTTTATCCTTGTGGCTATAAAATTTACATTAGGAGTATTTCTGGGAGGAAATGAATTTCTCACTTCTGGGTTGTTTAAAATTATAAACCCATTAAGGTCGTGTTTCTGGGTAAAGATTCGATCGATTCTTCGGACAGGGATTTGTTTTCCTTACTGCTTCCACTTTTGTAGTGCTCCTTCAAGACTCCTAGCACTTTGCCTAAGTCTGGTGTAGAGAATTTTATTATAGTTTGCCACCTCTGGAGCCCAGGCAAAGCGGTGCTACGTTTTGAAAAATGAATCAGGAGAAACTTGCAGATATTTTGAGGGCTCGAATATGTAACCTCCCACAACACTGTGAGATGAGCGTCATTCTGTTTGGTACAAGGGGTGAAAAACAGGACCCAGCGGTGTTTACATGTGTACTGGGCCATGAAATTGAATATTATCAAAGTTGAAAAATGCAAATCAAATTAAAACGAGAGAAAATTGCCTTTGGAATTATAGCGGCCTGGAGACCCCCAATGTTTGCTTAAATGGCAGCATTACAAAATGAAAAGCTTCTGAACCGCCCCCAGTTTCTCCTGTCCCCTACCCCCCAAACACGAAGCCTGCTGTTTTACTCTCCTAGGAAACAGGTTTAAACGTGGGTTCAGGTCACTCGCCATCAGCGAAGATCACCCTGCGATGTAAGTCTCGTAAGCACGCAAGGCCACCCTTTCTACAAGTGTCCCCCAACTCTGCCTGCTTCAGAAGCTGAGAGACACACCTTTGCTCTTTCGGGCTATACCTCGGGCAGCGCTCTCTTCGAGAGCGCCCAGCACCGGTGAAGCGGCCCTCGCGCGCGTCCCCAACCTGCATGCTCAGGGCGCACGGGGCACCAGGCTGGAGTGCAGGGACCCTCGAGCTCTCGAGGCTGGGACCCTGGGGACCCTGGGGACTCCTCCCGCTCCTCTGGACATCTGCTTTTGGACAGAGCACTTTCCCAGGCAGCTAAACATTACTGGCCAAGAAAAAAAATCTGAAAAGCACAAGGTAAAGGGACAAGGATTTGATCGCTCTAGCCCCTTGCCAAGTCTCAGAGCTCGGGAGACCGACCCCACCCTGTCGTCGCAGCCTGGGGACCGCGCGCCCTTCTCTCTCGTAGGGCCAAGGTTGGCCGGGGGGCGCCCAGGGTGGGCCGGGGACAACGGACAGCGGCCACGCCCAAAGCCTGGACTGGTGCGGGGAAGGGGTTGGGACCCCACGGGCTCGGGGTGCCGGGTGGCGGTGGGTAGGCTCCCGAGGAGGTCATCGCTTTCCTCGACCCGGCCCTGACTTCCCTGCTCAGAGAAGCGCGGTGGTCTCCGTTCCCCTGCGTCCTACAAGACCCGACGGCCCGGCCAGGCCCTACTACTTGGACTCAAACCCCGACCTGCTTCCTGCCAGGCCTCCGGGTGCCGACCGGCTCGGGAGTTGCTCTTGATCGGATCCTCTAAGTCGTGAGATCCGGGACGTAGACAGTGTGTTTCCGAGGAAAGCTGTGCTGAGCATATGTTTATTTTCAAAATCAAGCAAGGGCAATAGCAGCGATTAAAATGAAATATTTTTATTTCCTCGCACGTCCTTCCGGACTCATTTCCCTTCAACCACAATTTTCCCAAGCCTGTTAGCAGTGACAATGAGCGAATGCCACCGGTAATTTAATTTTCCTGTCACACTAAATAGAGCTACATTGTAACCTTAGATCTACTCCTACTGATAGGATCGCCTTGTTTTACCATTTGCACCATAAAGACCCCCAAAAGGGACACTGTATTGTGACCTCTACTCTTGAATTATTCAAGAACTTAATGACATTTTCCATTTTAAAACGGGAACTAATTGCCATTGATGCGAAGCATGTGACCTTCTGGGGTTGCCCAGTATGGGAATGCAGGCATCCTCTCGCAGAGCCTGAGCCGGAGAAGGCAGGTAAAAGCTGGAAAACCTGTCGGCACCTGAGCGAGTGGGCACTGAACCCACACTTCTTCAGCTCCACCCACACAATGATGGGGAGCACATATACCCTTCTCCTGACCCCCAGTCTGTGTGTAAGCTCTCGCCAGTTTACCTACATATTTTTGAATAAAAAGTGGCTTTTTAGGTAGGACAGGGAGGGAATCGCAGAATGTTAAAGTGGAATATCCCTTCGCAAATGTGAGACTACTTCCTGTGACATCAACCAAAATATACAGTGATCCGGTCTCTCCTTTTGTTGGCTTTTCTTTATTTCATTAGTATATACTCAAAGGGGCAAGAAACTTACTATTGCAAAGAAACTACACCTTAGTATGTGCAGTTGGAAATTCTCTCCTTTTTTATTTTTTGAATTTTTGAATTTGTTTTGTTTTCTCACTCCTGCAGTAACTTGAAAATGGATGCTTATCTTTCTTCAAAGTGAGCAGACTTCCCGTGTATTTCCTATTGTCCTTTTGTTCTTTCCCTCGTCCAGAGGAAAGCAGAGGGGGAGAATGGGCTTCTACCCATGTCCTCGGGTTTATAAACTCGCACATCTGACTCCAGATCTCCGAGGGGGACCCTGGTACAGCTGCTCCTGTCCACAGCTGCTCAGCGTAAGTGGAGTGGAGAAGCTGGGCAACGAAGCATCGCCGTGCAGCGCGGGCTGCAGATGCTTCTCTGAGCTTTTAAGGGATGCCTGAGGGAGACCTGGTAGTTTCTGGGAGGTGGGGTGGCTCCTCTCACAGTGAAGCTCCAGTTACCCTGCTTGGCGCCTGCTGTGTGCTCCGTTGTGGAGCTGCATTTCTGTCTTACTGAATTTCCAATAGAGAAGACGAGGTGCATTGGACCCTCTCACCAGGTTTCGTGAGCCCCGCAAGACAGGACCACATTCCGTGCTGCTGCTGCGTGGCACTGGGGGAGCGATCCCTGCTGTTGGAAGAGATTGTTGTAAAGCGCTACACTCAAGCTGCATAACACAGCGACTGCTTTCTCATTTCTCTGAAAGAAAATTTTCTCTCTGGTCTTATGTGCCCCTATGTTCAGTAAGTAGCAGGAGACGTTGAATAAGGATACAGAGTGTGTTCTTGTTGTTGTTGTTGTTGTTGTGTGCAATGCCTTGTGTGTGCTAGACAAACACTCTACCATGGAGCCACACCCCAGCCCCAGACATGTAGCTTTTATTGTTACACAATAATGATATTCTAAGAAGTGTTAAAAAAAAAAAGGTGTTATGACTTGTGTTGAAATCATTTTACTGGTCAGATGTTAAGTTTAGTTTTAGAGATTTTTCATTTATTTTTCCGCTTGTAAAAATGTAAACCACTTGTTATAGGCTCTAAGCCACAGCATGAATTATCTAAGTTTCTCATACTGTGCCTGCCCTTTCTAGTGTTCTACAGTAATATTACCCAGGAATTTTTCTCCACAGTGACAGTGTGTTTTAAAAATGAAAATTTCATTTACTATTCTAATTGTCACATAGAAAATAACATTTTTTTTCCATTCTAAAACAACTGCCTAGGGCCAGGGAGATAGCTCAGTGGAATAAGTGCTTGCCTGGCAAGTGCAAGGTCCTCAGTTCAATCCCTAGTACCACCAAAAATAAATAAAATAAAACAACTGCCTCCATATAGGGCGATCTGAGGGATCTTATGCAATATGGAGAGCCTGTGGTATCTGATGACAGGGGAGGGATAGGAAAGGAGCAGGTGTGGGACTGGGGAGGAGGGAGAGACCATGACTCCACCCTCCCACCCCCACCACCATGCTAGGAAAGCATTCCCTCCCCACTGGCCTCTGTGGAAGAGTGAAATCTCAGCGCCTCTGCCATAGGGCACAGAGACCTTTCTGTTTTCCTGTCAGGTGGGCTTCCATGTCTCCATCCATGCTGCTGTGAGGGGGACAACATACTTGTTTGTATGGGTATTGGTGAAAATCAAGACTGCTGTGTACTTTGGGTACAGAGCATGCACGCACAGAAGGGAAGAATGGGGCTATTGTGGAGGGAAGCATAGCAAGCCCAGGAGACAGGCAGGCAGCTAGGTCACCGGGCTCCCTGGGGCGCTCAAGCAGCTGGGGTCCTGCCTGGGTCCCGAAGTCCTCCTGCCAGGCAGCCCCTTATGCACTTGTTTCCTCTCACCTGCAAAGATTAGGACTTCTAGCTAGCGCAGTCTTTTCAAATGCCAGAGCCAGCAAAGTTAACAGTAACTTTCTGTCTTCTTGTGTTTACCTGCAGGTACTGGATTTCTGGCTGTCCATTTTTCTTCCTCTGTGAAATAACATCATATGCTGTGGTCACTCATAATAACTTTGAAAGAAATCCAGTTTTTTCTGTTTTGTGAATATTTATTCCTTAAGTGTGGATTGTGTTGCTGGCCACACTAGGCCAGAATTCTTCCTAAGCAGGAAATGTTAACCTAGCTGAAGAGGACAGACACAATGTCACTCCTCAAGGACCGTTTCCAGCACAGTGTTTGTCACTGATACCGGCAGTACCTGCTCTAGTGTGTTCTCTCTCCTCATGGAAATTGGGGAATCAGAAACTCCTAAAAGATTTTCTGGGGGCCGGGGAGATGGCTCAGTGGAATAAGCGCTTCCCTGGCAAGCGCGAGGGCCTGAGTTCAATCCCTGGTTCCAGTAAAAAAAAAAAAAAAAATTCTGTGCTGCGTGAAGCTCATGTACTATTATTGGTTCTCTAGAGTGCCACTTCATTTAATTAATAATTAAGCCCTGGGGAAAATTATGGAATTCATCCTGGACTCTTTCAGAGCATTATTTTAAGGGCAGCGACCTAGCGCGGAGGTCTCTGCTCCGGGCTCTGGAACACGAGGTCGCCAGAGCATTATTTTAGCCAGGAGAATCCGAGGACTTTTCCCACCATAAGTATTCTTTCCAAGCAAAATTTTAACTGTGGAATTTTCTCTATGTTTCATCTAGATTGGCATATGCACAGTTCCTGAAACAAAAAGATGAGTTAGAGAAAGACAGTTGTACCTGTGTGTGATTGCAAGCACGAAAGCTTCTCCCACCCTGAGAGTAGCCCGCAAGGCCACAGCCCGGTCAGGTGGCCCCTGGATGCTTCCCTGGGAGCCGCCAATGGCTGGAGACCAAGGCATGAGGCAAGCGGCCAGACTTGCTCACAGACAGGCGGGTGCGATTCCAGATGGGCTCCATGTGCCAGCACCGGCCGCCCAAGCAAGGGAGAAGGGAAGCACAATTCCAGTGCTGCAAAGCTGCTCCAAGGCTCCAGGCCAGCAGATGTGAAGGTGCTGTACTGCTGTCACACTGAAGTCATGGCTGACAAGGTGCCCAAGGATGTGTTTGGACCTCATCGCATGACAAATGAACCCTAATGCAGGCTGCAACTGCGGCTCAGTGCAGCGGCGCTTGGCCAGATGCCCAAGGCCCTACCCAACACCCCAGCATCCAGCCAAATCACCACCCACCAAACAACAGGGAAGAAAAAAATGCGTGACAGTTTTAGAAAGCTTTAGCCTCACACTGAGTGACCTAAGGCATCAGTTCTTCCCAGGGACCAGAGAATGTCCATGAACTCAGTGATCTTTGGAGCCCCCGGAGGGCTTGCTTGCTGAGCTATACAACCCTGCAGAGAAGCCAGGACAGGAGCTGAGCTGGCCGGCCACTCATGGGAAGGGCAAACCAGCCCTCTCAGGGGCCTTGAGCCCAAAGTACCCTGAAGCAGCCCTGCCATGCTATCTGGGCTCTGCAGAGGCAGTGCTGGGGATGCAGTTTTGGGGAGTGGAAATGAAACCAACCCTGTTTAAGGTAAAAAGTCAATCCCAAAAGCACACGGAGTCATTCATTCCTCGGTCCCTTTAGAAAGCCGAGTCATGCACAAGCCAGCATTTGCCACACAGTGGGAACTCTGATACATGTGATTTTCAGGATGCTTTATCTCTGTGGAGAGGATTCAGGAGGCCCTTGAAGTCCTCAGCCCTAAATCCATGTTACTAGGGAAAGGCTGTATTTTTTTATTTTTTATTTTTTTTCTTTCTGGTAGATGGAGGCTTGAGCTGGGAGAAACTCTGACCAGGCCAACACTGTGGCTGAAGTGGCACACAGGCCCTAGTATGGTCTGCAAGGCATTTACTAGCCTGGCCCCTCCTTAGGGCCTGCATTTCTAGAATAGGAGTCAGCGCTGGAGACAGAGTGTGGCTGGCTCTTTCCAGACACAACAGTTCATTTTATAAATTTTATCTCAGGGGTATGCAAAGCGCGTTTATTTTTCACTTTTATCTCTGGAATTGCAGGCTGATCCCATCCATATAGATTGATTTTCTTCAGGTAGGTAATGAAAAGTACAGTGGAAAATCACACAGCAGTGCTCACGACCCTAGTCTTATATCCGTATACAAATTGGTTTATTATTTCATTCTATTACAGATGCGTCCCCCTCCCCCTTTTTCGTACTAGGAAAACTTTTAGAAGCTCTGTGTGGTGGGTCTCCCTGAATTACCTCCCAGAGGCAGTGGTGGGGAGGGGAGGTGGTGGGCCCCCATTTCTGCCTGTTCACTGTGCTGATGCCCCAGAGCGGCCCTTCTGAGATGTCCCCAAGCCGTCTACCCCCCTGTCTGCCCAGTGTCTTGTCTGCTATGGATGTAACTCTTGAACCTTTCTGGGTGACAACAAAAGTGCCCATCCACACACACATCCTACTGCACAGGTGAATTTTTTTCACCCCAGGCAATTCTAAATTTTGTCACGATGCCTGCAGGAGACAACCCCCTCCCTCCCAAGCACCAAGAGGCCAGGGGTGAGAGGGTGACAGGGATAAAGGCCACACTGAGGGACAGCTTGGAGCCAGAATCTTGGAGGGAGCGTTATTAATAAACATCTTCTGGACATTAGCTAGCCCGTGGAGCTTGCTGCAGCTTAAAGCAATTAATTCAGGACACTGACTTAAACTCTCCAGGTCTTTGACAGCTTGGAGCCGAAATAAAAATGCTAGTTCTCCCGGGAGGAGAGGCGGCCGGCAAGCTCTCTTCTGGACTGTTTGCTCACAGGCCCCGCGAGCCGCTTTCCTGCAGAATGAAATGCAAGGGCACAAACAATGTACCAGGGAGAGAATAGGAGACGGGAAGGAGCAGTTTGAACTATTTGCTCAGCAGAAGGGCACCACAATGCTGGGCTGATGCTTTTCCCAGGCATCCACTGTCCCTGCTTTGGGGTCTTTTGTTGTCTCTGTCCCCTCTGGCCAGATAAGAGCACAGCTGCGTGCTGCAGCTGAGCGGCTGCCTGGTCCCCTCCACCTTGGTTGCCGTCTCTGTGCGGCTTCCTGCTTGGTTCCACTTGGTCCCCTAAAACAATTTTTGCAAGGAGTGTAGTGGGAGAGGAGGGGAGAATGCAGGGGCAGAGGGTTCAGGACTCCCACATTGCTCAGGTCTGATTCCTGCCTCTGAGCCCAGGCTGGGACCACTCCCTGTCCTTTTGGGTTTAGAGATTTGTGGGGCTCCCAAACCAAATGCTGCCTTTTGTGGGGAAAGTGTGTGTGTGTATGTGTGCACGCACGCATGCACATGCATGTGGGTGGGGTAGTGTTAGTGAAGTGCAGAGAAGAAGATTTGAGGCCAGCCCACTCTTTGCTTTCAATGGTCAGACTTTTTCAGCTGCTAAAAAAAAAGGGAAGTGTTTTGGAGCAGCCAAATTGAGAACTGTCCAGTTGTGATTTGTCACATCTGAAAATTACTCTGGATTTCTTTCCACTTACCTTGTTCAGAGTTCTAATGGATAGCGGTATCCAGAATCAGAGTAAGAACCAGGCAAACTAGCTATGGGACAAAAATATCCTTTTGTAAGTGCCACCAGTTACGCTTATAGTAAGAGTAAATGTCACCTGAAATCATCAAAATGTTCTTTCACATTTGCTCTTTTGAATAAAGGCTTATTTTAAATACTAGAAAAGGAAGTAGACATGATAATAAGGTAAACACCAGCACAGGCCTGGAGATGCAGCCCAGGGGGGAAACACTGCCTGGCTTGTGAAAAGCAGCTAGGCCCTCCACAAATTAACAAAAAGTACAAAGTACAACCACTAAATCTGAGACCTCACGCAGCTTTGCACTGTTGGATGTGTGTTCTCACGCAGAGAGTGCTGCCGCTGGTGTTGTTTTTGAAAGCCAGACTACAATGGATAATTTCATTCTAATAAGATCGATTTAGTCCGAATGGTTTTATAAGGTGAAAAGGCAAAAAGTTTAACACCAAAGGAAATGAATGGCTTTCTATGACTGTTACATATCCACAGGCCGAAAAACCCCCTGAAGGAAATAAAATGTTTCAACTCTGTGTGTGTGTGTGTGTGTGTGTGTGTGTGTGTGTGTGTGTATGTGTTTGTATGGGTGTGTTTTTCACTGAAAACCCGGCAAAAGAAAGCTCTTCCTCTGCCTCTCCTGCTGGGTGGTCAGAGGAAAGGCCACGAAGCCAAAGGCCTCCCATTGAGACGCTGCTCTGCGAAGAGCTGGCCTCAGGTGCTGCTGCCCGGATACCTGGTCACCTCCTTATTGTGAGGCAGGCTCTGTGCTGGAGGTGGAGGGGCCACGCCTGCCCCCACAGCCACCGAGGGTTCCCAGCTACGAGCTCTGTGGCCAACGGCATGCCAAGCTAGGCTGCAGCAGCCCTGCCATCCTGCCATGCCCTACGAGCTGTCATCCAGAGGAGCTTCTCAGTAACTGAACACCAGTGAGTACCATGTTTGGCTAGAGAGGGGCGGGTGTGTGTGTGTGTGTGTGTGTGTGTGTGTGTGTGTGTGTGTCTCGGAGCCTTTTGTGATGCAGGCAGAGAGGGGTGACAAGTGGAGAAAGGGTTCATTTAGACATTTGCAAATGTTTGATGACACCATGAAAACAACCATGGCAAAAACCCTCCGAAATATATCTTGTGCTGTGATGTTTGCCCCTGTGTGGGTAGGCACTTGAGACCATGATACCGTATCAGAGAACGCTAAATATAAAATTGTAAAGCACTAGTTGGTCTGCTTTGATTTTTGCAAGTTTATGCTTTAAAATTTTATATTTTGTAAAAGAGACATCATAGTCCATAACAACAGCACGAGCACTTTTTCTCTTGCCCGATTCAGTGCTTCAGCTAAATATATTCTGTCTTCATGTGATCTGAGGCCAGGTCACATTAATTTGGGTGAATATATTCCTTTTCTCTCTAACTCTCAAAAACTGTTTCAGGCATTTTTTTTTCAGCATGGAATATTAAGGTGAGTCTGAGAATTCTGTTGAATTACTGGGAATAACTCAGAGAAGCAAGTGGGGCTCTCCTTGCAGAAAAGGTTTTGCTCTGCTGAAGTGAGCGTAGATTTGTGCTTTCTGCAAAAATACGCATGCAACTGGTTGCCCAGCAAACCTCCGTGGGAGAAGTGCCACCGAAGGGGAGGGCAAGGACACGCTTTATAACGACTCAAGTTTAGAGGACCATGGTGGGATGCAGGGGAGAGTGATACTGATCTTACCCGAAGGGGCTTGGACACCACACCAGCTGCCACAGTTTGATTAATGAGGCATTAAGGAGATCGAGTGACACTTACAGCTAGTTACTTATGGTGCTAATTTCAAAACACTTTGCAATAGACAAAGAGACTCTGCTCATAATGCAAAGTAATTTGTGATGTGTTCCTGGCGAATGCATTTAGCGAAGCAAATATAGTTATGCAGAATTTAAATTAAGGTTGACACTAATGTAAACAGAGCCCAGGAACCACTGTCCAATAATTTGATGAGGACATGGATTTTAATCAAGCCTCTTCCACTAAAATAGCAATTTAAATCCCATCGTTTAAACTGGATAAAATGCTTAAGCTGTGAAGGTTGAGGGAAAAAATAGAAATTTACTGGAAAAGAAAAAAGAAATACAATATCTGTCGGGAAAACACTTTGCTTGAAGAGAGGGCTTTGTGAGGTGATATAAAAATCAGGATGATTGTGAGGGCAGAGCGTGGGTGTTTAAAAAGCTTTACCATGTGTCTTTTTTTGGTGTTGTAAGGCTGTGGCTGGACGCATTTTGATGGTGTTGATCTCAGAATAAAAGAAAACTCCTCTTCCTAAGAAGTGGAGGCTCTAAGCTGATTCTGAGACTCCAGAGTGTTGTTTATTTTATTAAAAGGTGAAATCCTCCCTGTGCCATGGGTTCCTAGTAGAGCTGAGGGAATTCCCTGTGGGCTGGGGTGGATCAGGGCTGCAGGGATTCTGTTCCCAGTGGGAGTCCCAGGGTCCCCAGTGGGCATGCATGCAGGTTTTGTCTGGGTGTGACAGTCCATTTTCCTGGCTGCCGGTCCTTGGGAGAGGGGTCCGCTGAGGAATTAACATTCATTAAAACACCAGCAGCCAAGGTCCAGCATAGGAGGTTCTGTGTACAGAGTTACAACTGAACGAAACAGCAGTGCAGCCTGTTGTGCTCTGGGAAGGAGAGACGGTGAGGTTGGGCAAGTTCTCCTGGGCCTCCTGGCCCACTGCTGGCCAAGGGAAATCCTAAATTCCCTGAGCTATGACTCTGATTGCTCCAAGTCATGTGAACGATGTCTTGTGGGGAAGAATTTGGGCGATGACAAGTGTTTTCCCTACCTCCACTGAAAAAAGCCAAAAGTAATTTTGGGAAATAATGCTTTCAGGAGTGCTCTGGAAATGATTCTAACAGTAATGTTTGTGACCCTCGGCCTTAGGTGGGGAGAGCAGAGCCTTCCATGGTTAAGGATGAAGGAGGGTCTCTGTGTTTATTATGTATGAAGGCAGCTGTAGCAGGACAAGGAAGACAAGGCTTAAACACAGGTATTGATCCCAACCAGGTGTAGTCGGGCACACCTACAGTCCTAGTACTCTGGGAGGCTGAGGCAGGAGAATGGTAAGTTTAAGCCCAGCCTGGTCAACTTGATGACTTAGTGAGACCCTTTCTCAAAATGAAAAGTAAAAAATGGGTCGGGGATGCAGATCAGCACAAAGGCTGTGAGTTCAGTTCCCAGTACTGATGGAAGAAAATAAAAGGTTGGGGAAGCCACTGATTGTGCAGGTGCCAGGTTTAAGCCCCACTATCCTTCCCCACTCCAACAAAAACCACGGGGCCCAAGGAAGGTCTGTCCCACATGTTCCTTAGCCCAAGCAGGCAGGAAAGGCAGCACAGAACTGCTACAAATCCCAGCCAGTTCTTCTCTGGAGCAGCCCCTGCTCTCCTTGGGACCCTTTCTATGCAGCCTTCAGCACACACTAGCCCTACGATCCTCTGAACATCCTTCTCACCAGGCTATAACAGGAAAGGAACCCAGAGGAGGTCCAGGATCTCCAGTTAGGGAAGTTGAGCTCAGTTTCTGAGTGCCCCCAGCACAGGGGCTGCAGGTCTGAGAACAGCAAATACCCAGGCTCTGTGTGTAAGGCAGGATGACCTTTGGGACACACACCAGGCCACGAGGGGCCTGCAAGGGTGCTTGTCCACCTCTGCGGCACTGGAAGCAGCAGTGTAGGTGGGTGCTGCAGGGGTTGGGAAGAGGTGTAGGCTACATGTGGCAAGTCAGGTCTCCCAGGGGCAGCAACATTGTCGAGAAAGGAAAATGGCTTGGCAGTGATGGTCCTGGGCCTCCCAGGCTTTGGGATGGACAGGGTCTCCTCATGTCTTCTCGTTGTTCCTCCGAGCACAGTCCCTCTGCAGTAGCATGGGGCACTGCTCTCCACATTTGCTGGTCTGGTCTGTGGCTGTGCAAACCACAGCCCCCCAGGAGTGGGACTTGCACTGGCCTCACTTGCAGCCTTCGTGCCTTTGGGATCGCCTGGAACAAGCTCTGCAGCCCTCTTCCTTGGTGATCTTACCCTCTGTAACAGGACTGGTGGTGTGGCACACACACATCTGTGCTGCTGCAAATGTGGGTGAGTGGCCTACCAAGGCCACGAACTCTTGGACTCTGTCTCTCTCTCTCTCTCCATGTCTCTCAGCACCCAGTAACGCAATCCCACAGACCCTGTGAGAACCATTTGCTCCCCAAGATACCCTAGACAAGAATGGTGCCGGCCATGTGGCTTCACTCACTTCCAGTTGCAGCAACACAGGGCTGAGTAGATGCCAAGGGAGTGGGCAGCTGGCAGCTGGCACTCAAAGCTGGTGGAGAGAGCTTGAATTCCTCTCTGCCTAGAGAGAGAAACACAAACCTGTTTCTCTTGCTCAGCCTCTGGGTCCGGAATCTCTGTGAATCTCAACACCAGCATGGTTGCTATGGATTTTATGGTTATCTTAAGAATGTGTCTCAATGAGACTCAAGGGCCTGCAGAGCTGGGGCTGGGGCCCCACCATGCCCTGCCATCCTTTCTGGCACACCTTGCCCTCCTGGGTTCCTTTCAGCCTCTGCATGGCAAAGCCCACCTTGGGGCACCAAGCCTGCCTGCGCACAACCACTCTTTACTGCCGTCTTCCACCACGTAGCTCTGGGTTGGAGACTTTTGCTGGTTTCCACTTAGGCAGCACAGTGATGATTCAGCTTTGCTTATCAGCTCCAAAGTCTTTCTTTTCATGGCAGTACTGACCCTTCCCAGGCCATACCTCAGATCCACTGGGGCAGAGCTGTGGACTCCCCACAGCAGCCTGACCTGGGAAAGGGCCCCAGATTCTGGGAAGGGCTGGCCCTGCCAGATACTGGTATTGGTGGCAGAGTCTCCCAGGGAGGTGGCTGTGAGTGGTGACAAACAGGGGTCTTGCTCAGGTGCTGGAGGACAGGTTGGCAGCCAGCTTCAGTTTGAGTCCAGAAAGTTGCTGACCAACAGGTTTAATGGCAGGGGCTGGGGAGAAGGGATTCGCTGTTAAAAGCCTAAAACAGAAGTCCTCAGATTTAGGGCCTTCGCTCTGCTGCTCTTCCAACAAACACTGGGGGACTGGCTCAGGCCTGGGCTCTTTATCCTGTTTTATGGCCTCCTTCTTTTTTCTCTGGCCACAGGGTGAGGGCCCACCACTGTCTTTATTGGTCCTCAGACTCCTGGTCTACCTGACTGTGCTCCCAGCCAGATCACAGGCATCCCACACAGCACATAGAGAACTGAATCAACTGGTGGACACATACGGTTAGGTATTTTTATAATAAATGGGCTGATAATGCCTTTTTATTTTTATTTTATTTATTATTATTATTATTATTTTTATTTTTATTTTATTTATTTATTTATTTATTTTTTTTTTGCAGAACCGGGGATTGAACTCAGGCCCTTGCACTTGCCAGGCAAGCCCTTATTCTATTGAGCTGTCTCCCTGGCACAATGCATTTTTTTTAGAAGTCCGTTAGGCCCGTGTCTCTGTTGTGGAATTTCTCC